ATCCACCTCAGTAATGTCTCTCTCTTCTTGGCATCCCTCTGAAATGCCCCACTCTGAACAATACCCATCCTATAGTCGTACTCTGCGGTGTTAATCAGAAGAGTATTGGCTGGGCCATAAATAAAATGACGAATGGTAACCTCGGAGATGTTCCATATCAGTGTGGCCTGAAGTGCAGGTTGGGCTAGTGGTTTAACTCGTATGGGCATATCATTTCGGATAGTAGCGGCGTATGAGATGTAGAACTCACGAGTCATCTCATCGCTAAAATTACCTAGACTCTGTGCCATCCACTCACATTTGTGCCTCTTGAATAGTTCCTCATTAGCGGGCATAGTATGAAGGCTCTTTGTCAGTACCCAGTGCTCCTCAGTAACTATCCTGGCCATCTTCTTGTGTTCATTTAACACCTTCCCGTCATCATATATATGGTACTGACCCGCATCGCTTCATCTGTTCAGCTCTGTGGTGCTGGGAACCATCTCAACTCTCATGCTGGGTGGGTCTTGGGCATCTCCCTTGCTATCGGCATAAAAAAAGAAGCGGAAGTGACTCTGGAATAGGAGCCGGTATGCGACTCAGAGTCGGATTGCGACTCTCCTGTAGGTGAATCCCCCTCCTCAGATTGGGAGGCAATGACCTTGACCTCGTCACTGGATGATATAACATGCCTGGCCCTATTCCTCGTAAGCTGGGGGGAACCTCTGGTCGTCTCTTGGACGTATTCTTCCTCATTGGACTCATTGAGCAGGCGGTTGGTTAGGGCGACATACTTTGACTTGCCTCTCCTTGAGTAAACAAGAGCTTGTTTTTGTGACATGGTACCTGAAGAAGCTTAGTTAGTACTTGAAGAATTTAAAAAGACCTAAGAAAGTTTTTTAGAACAAGAATAGGACTTAGACGAAAAATAATAATTTTTCCAGGCAGTAGCTGGTTTAGAGACCTACAGTGGGTACCTACGTTCCATCGATGGAGTGAAGGGTCGTGGGTCCCCTCCGTAGGTCAGAGAGCCCATTTTTGGGTCTTTGATGTTGGAACCACAGATGCGCAGAACGATCAGTTGATGGAACGACGAACCGTAGTCCACACCGTGGTTCGCAACTTAGAAACTATTTGTGTTTATCCAATTGACGGACCATGACCTATGGTATGTAGGTGGCTCTACAGTCCATTAGTTGTGGCCCTTTACCAGAGCTGTGCCACACATGAATTTCCAAATTTCATTAAACACATTTACTTCAACAATCAATCAATCAATCTAAGTCTAAACATGCATTTCAACATATTATGTGGTAATTCATCATTCCTAGTGTTTCGATCATTTCACATTTCACATTCAATCAAATTGATAGTGAAACCCTAAGTCAAAACACCACTTAGACCTATCAAACCCAATTATGCAATCAAAACAATAACACACACACCATCGTTCCAAGAGTAGTCTATGAACTAGTTTTAAACAATTTCACACATGATTAACTACCCAAGGTCTAGTTCAACTTTGTGACTTCCAATTTAAACAATGAAACGAAATTCATAGTTTTGGTGAAGTTGATTTACCTGACAAGTAAGCAAAGTTGGTGAGTGCGTAGTTAGGGAAATTCTGTTCTCCTAAGGCAGAACTTGACACCGAACCCGAACCTTGTTTGCTTGGTAGTAATGGGGGAAAATTGAGGGGAAATAGAGGATTTGGGAGAGATATGAAGGAAATGGAATTAGTAAGTGATTAGAAATGGAAGGGGAGGATTTTATAGATGTAATTGGGGAGTTTGAGGGGTCCTTTTGGGTGTAGTAACAATTGGAAACGGTTTGGGGGAAAAGAGGGAAATGGGAAATGTATTTTAAATGAAAGGTTTTATTTTAATGTGGTCCGGGTCGGGTCGACTGTAACCCTAAGTTGGACCCACAAAACCTCGTCGATGGTCCGTGGGTCGACCTACGGTCCGTCGATGGGGACCGTTGTTCATTCCAACACTTAGTAAAAATCATAAAACATACCTGGGATCTACATATGCCATCCACGGTCTGCGGATTGACCGACAGACCATCGATGGGACCCGTAGACCACTACATCAACTTAAATTCTGCAGAATTGCCTTTTCTTCCCTAAACACCTAGCAAACATTAGGACTTTCTTTTTACATTTTCTGGACACCTTTTAGACACAAACCCTATTCTATCTTTATCTAGCCAACACTAAAACGAAAAATTAATAAACAACTATCTAGAAAACTACAAATTTAAGAAAAACTCCCTATATCGAAAAGTAAATTCCAATAGTTGGCTAGAATATACATCTTGGATTGCCTCCCAAGCAGCGCTTGATTTAATGTCGTGACACGACGTATATCCCTTGGTTACTCAGACTTCCCCAAGACTTCATTTCTCTATTACCTCATTGACACTCTCAGCTTGCCCAAAATAGACTTTTATCCTTTGACCGTTCACCTTGAACCTCGTTCCTTCCTTGTTCTTGAGTTCAACCGCTCCATGTGGAAATACTTGGGTTACTCTGAATGGCCCGGTCCACTTGGACTTGAGTTTGCCAGGAAACAAGTGCAACCTTGAGTTAAATAACAATACAAGATCACCGGGAGCAAATTCACGCTTTTCAATCTTTTGATCATGGTACATCTTCATCTTCTACTTATACAAGGTTGAACTCTCATATGCTTTTAGGTGAAACTCATCGAGCTCATTCATCTCATTCAATCTTTGACTTGAAGCGGCGCCCCGATAATTCAACTTTTTGAGTGCCTACATTGCTTTATGCTCTAGCTCTATAGGAAAATGACATGACTTCCCATATAAAAGTTGGCAGGGGGACATACCTATGGGAGTTTTGAATGCGGTGCGATAGACCCATAGAGCATAATCAAGCCTTCTTGACCAATCAGTTCTATCGGCGTTCGCAATCTTTGCAAGGATTTGCTTTATCTCTCTATTTGACACCTCATCTTGCTCACTAGACTGCGGATGCTAAGGAGTGGCTACATTATGGTGAACACCATATTTCTCTAGTAACGCCTTGAAAAACTTTTTACAAAAGTGAGTCCATCGCTTATGATTTCCCTAGGTGTACCAAATCTGGAGAAGATACTCTTTTTCAAGAATGCGGTGACACTCTTTCCCTCATTGTTTGAAAGAGCAATTGCGTCCACCCATTTGGATACATAGTCAACCGCAACAACAATGTTTTTCATCCCATGCAAACTCATGCCGATGAAGTCAAGAACCCAAACATCGAACAACTCAATCACCAATATCGGGTTCATATGTAGTTCTTGCTTCTTTGAAATTCCTCCTTCTCGTTGTAAACGATCACAAGACTTGGCGAAATCATGAGCATCTTGGTGGATGGTAGGCCAGTAATAACCACACTGCAAAATCTTATGAGCAGTCCGAATACCACTTGGTGCCCACCAACAGCTGACGAATGACACGCCTCAAGTATACTCATCATCTCAACCTCATGCACACAACGACGAATACTCCCATCAGCGCAAACACAAAACAAGTAAGGCTCTTCCCAAAAGAATTTCTTCACATCAGACATGAACTTTTTTCTTTCATCAAATGACAAATTCGAAGGCACTAAATCACTTGCCAAATAATTAGCAAAATCTGCGAACCATGGAATAAGGTCATAAGAAGCAACCAATACCTTCTCATCAGGGAATGCATCATTAATCTCACCCCCATCTCCTAGCCTAAACATAGCTTCCTCCTCCAATCTTGACAAATGATCGGTGACTTGATTTTTTGTTCCCTTTCTATCCTTTACCTTAAAATTGAACTCTTGCAACAAAATAACCCATCTAATCAACCTCGGTTTTGCATCCTTCTTAACCATCAGATACCTCAATGTTGAATGATCAGTATGAACAATCACTTTAGTGCTAAGAAAATAGGACCTAAACTTTTCGAATGCGAAAATCACAGCAAGCAGTTCTTGTTCATTCATAGTGTAGTTCTTTTGTGCAATATTTAAGGCTTTGCTTGCATAGTATTTAGGATGAAGAATCTTCTCTCGCCTATGTCCCAATACTACGCCAAGCGCCACCCCACTTGCATCACACTTCACTTCAAACGGTTGTCCCCAATTTGGTGAAATAATGATAAGTGCGAAGTTAGCTTTTCTTTCAACTCTCCAAATGCTCTCAGACAAGCATCATCAAAATCAAACTTACACTTTTTCTCCAACAGTTTGCATAATGGATGTGCAATTTTTGAGAATTCTTTTATGAACCTCCTGTAGAAACTTGCATCCCCAAGAAAACTTCTAACACCTTTAACATAGATGGGGGTGGAAGTTTTTATATTACTTCAACTTTAGCTCGATCAACCTCAATACCTTTCTGCTAAATCCGATGATCCAGAAGTATACCTTCATTTACCATAAAGTGGCACTTTTCCCAATTGAGCACAAAATTGTACTCTTCACACTATTTTAGTACCTTAGCCAAATGTGTCAAACAGTCATCAAACGAGTAACCTACCATAGAGAAATCATCCATAAATACCTTTATCGTGTCCTCCAACATATTTGAAAATATCCACATCATACACCGCTAACAGGTCGCTGGAGCATTACATAACCCAAATGACATCCTTTTGAAGGCAAAAGTCCCATATGGACAAGTGAAAGTGGTCTTTTCTTGGTCTTCCGGAGCTATGGAGATTTGATTGTAGCCCAAATACCCATCTAGAAAACAATACTAACCCTTACCAGCGAGACGATCCAGCATCTGGTCTATAAAAGGCATTGGAAAGTGATTTTTTTCTGTCCATGCATTTAGTTTGCGGTAGTCACTGACCTCATCGAAGCAAGCTCATTTTTAGCATTGGGAACCACGATGATTCCTCCCTTCTTTGGTACGCACTGAAATGGGCAGACCCAACTACTATCAGCAATGGGATATATAACTCCAGCATCCAGCCATTTAATAATCTCTTTTCTCACAACCTCTTGCATATGGGGATTCAGTCTCCTTTGATGCTCAATACTTGGCTTGCTGTCGCATGAGTTGATTTTTGTGAGAACAAATGCCCGGAGGAATCCCAATAATGTCCGCAATAATCCATCCAATTGCCCTCTTGAACCGCTTCAGTACCGATACTAAGGCCTCTATTTTCCCTTCACTCAAGTCAGCAATAATGATTACATGCAATGTACTATTTTGTCCCAAGAATACGTACCGCAAGTGGGATGGAAGAACCTTAAGTTCCAGTTTTGGAAGCTCATCAACAGACGGTTTTGCAGGTGGGGTGTCTTGATTCTTCATATCTAATTCCAACCGTTTTGGCTTGAAACGAAACTCGAACCTATCAAGTGCAACAACTAGCTCATCATAGTCATCAATACCATCACTGTCAAAATTCATCTTCACCACTGCTAGTGCATCAACACCTAACCTCTCTTCAATGGACACTTCAAATTCCTGCTCCACCTTATGATTTACCGTTGATACAGAAATAAGATCACTTTCATGCTTAATAGACCTGTATATGTTAAAAGTTAACTCATTATTTCATAAAAACTTCATCTGCCCTCTCTTCATATCAACCAACGCACGTCCAATAGAAAGAAATAGTCTCCCTAAAATGATGGGAACCTCAAAATCAACCTCACAATCTAATATCACAAAGTCCATCGAAAAGATGAATGATTCTACTTTCACAAGGACATCTTGCAACACTCCAATGGGCCTCTTCACAGTTCTATCATCCATAAGTAAATGCATTGCAGTCGGTTTTGGAGCTCCTAAACCCAACTTCTTATAAATCGACAATATCATCAAATTAATGCTGTCACCCAAATCACACAAGGCCTTCACGAAGCGCAGCATACCGATGGTGCAAGGAATAGTGAAATCTCTAGGATCCTCTTTCTTCTGCATAAATGACGTAGTAGAAATAGCACTACAATGTTGTAACTTCTCTTCATCCTCAAAACTGTCAGCCATCTTTTTGGTCACCAAGTCCTTCATGAATTTTGCATACCCAGACATTTGCTCCAAAGCTTCTATCAACGGGACATTGATGGAAAGTTGTTTCAACATTGCTATAAACCTGTGGTATTTTGCTTCTTCAATCTTTTTCACCAACCTGTGTGGAAAGGGAGGTGGAGGTCTAGGCATGGGAACAACTTTTTAGGTCACCTCAGCTTTCTTTTCTGTAGCATCTTTCGGATCTCCAGTAACCTCGATCTCATCCGAATCTTTTTCTACCACTCTTTTAATCTCAGACGACATGTGGGGATCAATAGTCTGTTTTCCTCCACGAGTAGTGATTGTCATACAATGCCCATCATTTTTTGGATTTTGGATGGTTTTGCTAGGAAGTGTGCCAGGCTGACGTGGGTTCACAATAGCAGACAACTGACTAAACTGCTGCTCAAGTTACTTGATCAACACTGCATGGGAATCAACTTTTTGATCAATCCCAAATAAATCAGTACGCATCTCCTTCACATGTTCATCACTTGCATCGAACCTCTTCATCATTTTTTGGGAGTAATACTAGTACCAACCTCTCTATTACCAGGTTCTTTATTACCAGGTGGAACATAGGGCCCAACTCTCTCATTCATGCTTCCATAGTTATATCTGTTGTAATTGTTATCACGATTGAGGTTTCCATTTCGGTTGTAGTTTCCATAGTTTCGACCTTGGTTTTTTTGACCTTGGCACCAATTATCCGAATTGGAACCTTGGGCGTTAGTTCGGAAACCCCCGTCTGATCATTCACCAAATTCACATCTTCCTCATAGTAACACTTCGCAATTGGCGATGGTGGGGTTCTAGTAAGATTATTCACTACATTCACTTTCTATGCACTTCCACTCACATTCTTTAATACCAAGCCAATTTCAGTCCTCATTTGAGCCATCTCTTCACGAATATCATCATTTGATTTACTTGGTGCAGTTTGGACAACAAACGTGCTCCTACCAATATTTTCCTTTCTAGTGCTCCATGCCTTATTGTTTTGGGAAATTCTCTCAAGTTTTTCAGCGATCTCCTCAAAAGTGCACTCACCATGAACCCAGTGAACCTATCCCAAGAACTGCTTACCGACTCTCTAGGTAGTGTTGTGAAGTTATTCAGTTTATCCTTGTGATTTAACTTCTTGGACACCAGAAAATACCTTGCCATGAACACCTTATATAATTGGTCCCATGTATAGATTGAATTGTATGGCAGCTCAGAAAACCACACAGTAGCATCACTAGCCAACGACAATGGGAATACTCTCAAACCTATGACATTCATATTCAATTCTGGTCATCCCACACAGCTCTTATAGACACTGTCAATTTAGCCATGTGAGCATATGTATCTTCTGAAGCTAACCCAGCAAACAACCCTCTTGTTGTAAGCATTTTCATAAGACTACTGGTCACCACAAATGTATGTCCTGGAGGTAGAGGAGGGAGAACAATAGGCCCATTTGATTCAACCGCATCGTTGTTAACTCTGTAGTTATCACGAATCCTCGGTGCTGGCTGAGGGTTACCCTATTAGATTACCACCATGAACCAGAGTGGGCACATTCATAAATCTAGGATGTTGCAACCTAACTCCATCTCCTTGACCCTCTCCGATTGTATTATTGTGTACCCCTTAATTTGCCATTCTTCTTAAAGTTCTTCGCACTTCAAGATCATAGGGGGTCAAGGTTTCGCCTTGAATCCATGTACTTGGCATACACAAGAGGTAAGACCTGTAGAAAATAAAAACAAAGAAATATAAAATTAAGAAATACTTGACTAAAGTTCAATAATGAAGTTAGATAAATCTAAAAGTCGTATTCCCCGACAACGGCGCCAAAATTTGATCCACTCAAATTACACCTCCCGAAAGAAGTATAAGTGATCATTATCAAGTAAAGAACCTAACTTGAAGGTTAGGGTCGATCCCATGAGAAATATGGTTTAAACTTCAGCTAACTCACTATTATATTCGTTTAGTCAAACTATTTCGAGAAAAGTAACAAAAAGGGGGGGATTTTGCAAATAAAATAAAAGATTGTTGATTGTATCAGTAACAAGTAACCATGTTTGCAATTTTGAAATATCAATAGGAGATGAAAACTAGGGCATATGTGTTCCCCACGAGCTCTTAACGCAGTATTCCTAATAATATTAATTCTATCCTAGTGTTTGACATGCAGGGCTGATAAGTTATGTATTCCTAAGTGATTGGTGATCTAAGTTGAAACTTTCACTCGCAACTTGGTAAATCTACATGTGTGTGCTTTACTAACCCTTACCTTTACCCCAGATTAGTCCTCATGCCAATTGAGTTGGGTATTCAACCTCACGTCAACTTGTTAAAGTCAAAATATTAGATAACAACAAATCCTTAACTAAATATCTGTTGTTGGATCTTTTTCTCATTCATTACCCCCTTGGTAAGGCAAGTAGGAACGAGGCGAGTTCTAACGTTGTGCACCGCTAGAAAGACTATTAAACGAAAAGATTAATAATACATGCATAAATACTATTCAAGAATTACTTAGTTATTAGTCATACATTGTTAATTGCTCATGGTTCCCACAACCCTAGTTGTGGATTTAGCTATTCATGCTTGAAAGTTCATAATTCATATTAGGGTTAAAAGAAATCATGAACTTACAATTAGAATAGATGAAAACCTAAATCGTGAATTGAAATTCAAAGTGAAATTGCATAAAACCAAATTTCGGAAATTAATTGCTAAGAGTTTGCAAAATAATTCCAAAAGACCAAAACAAAAGTCTCCAATATTTTCTAACCCCTAAAAATAGAAATAACAACTAATATTTATAGTAAACAAATCCTAAACCAAGTAGGAAACAAAATAAGGAAATAACAGCTCAAACGCGGTTTCAATTGACGACACGACCTATGGACCATGGGTCAACCTACGGTCTGTTGTCTCCCTCCGTAGATCAGCACTTGGAAAATATTTTAGGGCCTTCATACGATGGTTTCCACCTACGGTCCGTGTGTTGAGCTACGATCCGTCACTTGCCTCCATAGTACAAGTACTGGAACTTCAACTTTCTGATCACAAACGACGGACGTGCAAGACGGTCCGTCATTCAATCTACGGGGCGTCGTTGACCTCTGTGGTTCCACACTTGGTCAGACTTCCTTGAACCCTCATTTACGCTGTAGCACCTACGACCCATCACTGGACCTATGGTTCGTGGTTAGCTCTGTCACTGGCCACTTCTGCAATTTTCAGCTCTTATCTCAATCAACCGCATTCGAACCTATTTCCTGCAAGAATTACACAAAAACCATCATATCTGATAACAAAATGCTCAAGAATCACACAAAACTCCAAGTGAAATGCATCAAAAATACCGTAAACTCACGGTATATTAGACCTCGCAGAAGAAAATATAGGTATTTACTATTTGCTTGTTCGCATTTGATGATTGACTGTTTCAATAATTTTTTGACTTAGTTTTGTTCACATTTAAACTTTTGCTTGATAGAGAACTATTCTAACATTCCAATGTTACTTTTGTGTTCTTGTGCTACTTTATCATATTTGGATTCACATGGCTAGATAACAACTTTATTAGCTGAAATGTATCAGATGTTTCATGGAAACAACGAGCTTTTATTCACAGTTGAATTCTTGATACTAAAGATGTGAGTTCTTTTTATTTCTCTTGACCTAGTAGTCCTTTATTCATTTTAATAAAAAATATAGAGAAAAGTGAGGTCTAACTTCCAAAAGAAATACAATTTTGCAGCATTAAAATATACAACCTTAGACTACTATAACTATTAGTCTTTCTATGCCAGCATAAGTGGTTTATGAGCTACCACAAATATAAATATTACAAAATGTGGTGAGGAGTAAAAAAATCTTTTGTCAAAGTGTGAAGGTATGTTGGTTTGATTGTACAATCTGCAGTTTGGACATTTTTATAGATTAATTAATAATGAATTCTTATAGAGAAAAAAAAGAAGAAATGATCACAAACGGTCATGAAGACCAGGAATATATGTTCTTGTAAGATAAAAACATAAAACACGGACAAATGTCTAAACATAGTGTTGGAAAATTATATGCACAACGAAAACATATCAGAATCTTACATCTTACATGAATAATAGATAACCGATAACGTTTATGCTAGAACATATACAATTATGCTAGAACACATAAACATGCTGAAATTTAATTCAAGAATTACCTCTTGAAGCGTGAGCAAATACCTTCAAACGAATCCCCAAGTTAGAAAGATCTTCAAGCGAATCCTCAAGATAGACAACAACTTTGCAGTCTTCTACAATGATCCCAAGTTCACATCCAAACTCTCTCAATACTTGGGTGGACAGGTATCGAATAGAAAACTAATCAATCTTTTTCTAGGTTAGGAGAATCTCTATTTATAGCACTACAGAAAAAATGATCATTAGCGGCAATTAATTCTTAATTACCACTAAATATGTATTTTTAGCGGCAATTAACACTCTTTGTATATGTCCCTAAAGCCTTTGGCGATATTGATTAACACTCTTTCTTAATGTCTATATTTATTGCCGCTAAAAGTCGTTTTTGTTGTAGTGTAGAGATTCCTTCCAAATCCAAAAAGGAGAAGAAAACCTAGTTTTCTTGAAAAAACAAGAAAACCACGCATGACTCTTTTTTTCCCTTTAGAAATAGGATTCTGAGTTCTAGTTAAATATGGGCGCTATAGGGACCACTAAATTAATGATTGAGGCTTCCTATTATGGAAATAATTCCAAATAATTAATTTGAATTATTCTTATCATAATAAATTACAAATCATTCCACTCGAAATTTGTAATTGCACTCCTCTATTTATATTTCAAAATTCTCCATTAAACACTTATGTCATTCCCCATGTTAAAATTACATATATACTAATCAATAAATTAAATTACTAACGAATTTAATTTAATGATTAATTTCCTTTTGAGCACTACTTAACTTATTTCATGTGTCGGATTCATAAATCCACTTGCAAGGTTTGACACGATGAAAACTTATAAATTTCTCAAAAAGGCATATCGATCAATCTCTATAAAGAGACATGGATTCCATCAACTAACTTGGTATTTCACCAATATATATTATTATCATCCAATCTACCAGACATATTGACCCAT